GCTCCTACTACTTAGATACCAGTGTGTGTGTATAAACATGTTTGTTGATGTATTTATTCGTGTGTGCCTATTCATTTGACTAGTTGTGATATGTGTATAGACGTTTCGACATACATACTAAGTTCGTCCCTATGTCCCTATGTACCTAAGTAGTCCCGAGGCTTGATTAACCAGAAAACAACCGTAAGGTAGGTTTCAGATCTACTATGTGTTACATAACCCCTACTCTAGCAACTTAACGTAAATTCCTTAGCAAGAACCCCCTGCCCCTAAACCCGAAACCCTAAGCCCTGAACCCTAAACCCTAAACCCTAAACCCTAAACCCTGAACCCTAAACCCTAAACCCTAAACCCTAAACCCTAAACCCTAAACCCTAAACCCTAAACCCTAAACCCTAACCCCCAAGCCATAGGCGCGGAACACACCATGGAGACCGAGGCCCGAGCCTGCGCTTTCTTTTTGCCAGCGCCAGGCCTCCAAGGGTTTAGGGTTTAGGGTTTAGGGTTTAGGGGGTTCTCTGAGGGGCTTTAAGGTGTAGGGCTTTTAAGGTTTAGTAAGGGTTGTAAGGTTTAGGGTTCTTTTAGGGCTTTAAGGCTTAGGGTTTTCGAGTTTAGGGTTTTAAGGTTTAGGATTCTAGGGTTTAGGGCTTTGAGGTTTGGGGTTTTCGCAGTTTAGGGTTTTAAGGTTGAGGGTTTTCGGGTTCAGGGGTTTTAGGGTTTAGGGTCTTGAGCTTTAGGGTTTAGAAGGTTAGGGGTTCAGGGTTTAGGGGTTCCAAGGTAAAGGTTCTATTTCTTAGGGCTTCAAAGTCCAGGGGCTTAAGGCTAAGGGTTTTAAGGGGTAGGCTTCAAGGGTTTAGGAATACTTACTGGTTCTTAGTAGGGAATGAAGGGGTTGGGTACCTCATAGGGTTTTAGGGTTTAGGGGTTTAGGGGTTTAGGGCTTAGGAGACTGGCCTTTGGGCAAAAAAAACACCTTAACATTTAGGCGTCAAAGGCTTCATGCCTACGCAGCACCTAGCTACTATTTGCTTAAGAACTTCGGAAAAAATAAGAACAGATTCCTTATTAAGGGTAATATAAGGATTATTATGTTTTTTTATTCTTTTGGGGTTCTTAAGCAAATAGTGGCTAGGTAGGGTTTAGGGTTTATGGCATGGGGGCGAGGGCTGAAGCCCTTCACCCGAAACCCGCTTTAAGGCCTAGTAGGGCGAGCCACAAAACCACTGAACCCGTGTCCTTGTTAAGCAACTGACAAGTTTAGGGAACATAAACAGGTCCTTCTAGCAAGTAGCCACGAACCCTCACCAACTTAGTTGATGTTCCGTAACACGAAACCCCTACAGCGCCATGAGTCCCTGTAGTTTAGGGTCAGGGTTTTGGGGTTTAGGGGGTAGCCTAAGGTTCAGGGCTGAGGCTGACAGGGAATACAGGGATTCGGGTTGATGAGTCATGGGGAGTACGGGGACTCTGCTAGAGTAGTTACATGGTTCCTTATTACGGGCCTTAAATCTGGGGGGGGGGGGGGGGGAACCCTTTTTGTTCCCCCTTATAATATGCGCTTTGAAACCCAAGGTCAGCACCCTTCAAACAAAGTAAGGCACCATGTTACCATGTTAAGGGACTGTGCAATTCTCCTATACACGTACCCTAGGTGGGTTGCGGTTTCGGTTCAGGATAAGGGCTCAGGAGTTCAGAGTGCGAACATATTTCGAGTATAGGACTTTGAAAACCCAACCCTAAACCCTAAACCCTAAACACTAAACCCTCCGGGCCTGTGAACAACTCCATGTAGCTGTTCTTCGGCCCGGGCCCTGCGGGTTTCGCGACTTAGAATTGCGAGCTTTTGGGCTATTGAGTGTTCGTTGTTGAAGTGCTGAGATCTGGCAGCAGAGGCAAGGAAACCTTGAGATGCTAGGTTAGAAGAAAGCTCGTGCCGCCAACATGTAAGCCAGGATCCAGTGTTCAGGTCCAGAAGTAAGGCCAGACTTCCTGTTTCCACTAAGGAAAGACATGGGGTGGTGCGGAAGTGGGGGGGGGGGGGGGGGGGGGGAGGGGCCTAGAGACTCCAAAGCCCCTTATTAAAGGAATATCCCTTAAATTCTACTAGGAACCCTAATATGATGTAAAGGTATATTCCTTAATTAAGGAGTTTGGGGAGTCTCTGGGGGTGGGTTAGGATTCAGGGTTCTGTGAAAAAGCTGCCAAGCTCTGGAGGCCTTCTCAAGCAAAGCCGTTTCGGATTGGGTTTAGGATTTAGGATTTAGGGTTTAGGGTGCCTGTGTTGAATTGAATGAGTCTGTAGGAACGAGGCAAGCAGGATGCAAGCAAGACCGAGCGCTGAGCAGGGCATACCCGGAATATGGACAACAAAGCGCGCAAAGTTGGTAAGCGAGATGGAACAGAACGTGAACAGGATGAGGAGGATAAAAGGTGATGGTTGGGAATGCTTCGGGGCTTGTGCCTGGGACCTTCAGTTCAGCCCCTAAACCCTAAACCCTAAACCCTTTACCCCAGACCCTAAATCCGAAGAAAGCCTAAGAACGCGAACCATCTTCCAATAAGGGCACCCTTTTTGGTTTGGTTGCTTGATGGGTTTGGGGTTTGGGGTTTTGGGTTTAGGGCCAGTTTAGGGTTTAAGGTTTAGGGTTTAGGGTACCCCTGGCTGGGCTACCAAGGCTAGGTGCTTGCTGCGGCAGTAGAAACTGGGGCAAATATCTTCCGCCAAGCAGCCGCCAGTTTTCCCGCAGCGGTTGCTGACCTGGGCAGCGCGTCTGGTAGGAAAAAGCCTTGCTGCACGACACGTGCCGTGCAAGACCTTTTCAAAAGACGCGACAGTGGGACATCACCACAACAGCATGAGCCGCAAGACACGAACAGCTTTTTCAGTTTCCATCGCGCGCGAGTTTTGTTGCATTTTTCCTGCAAACTGTCACAAAGCTGTACATGCATATGAGCTCGGAAGCGGCAAGATCAGAATCTTACACCTTGGCAGCCCAATGACCATATCATGATGAGGGCACCCTTTTTTTGGTTGGTTACTTTATGAGAACCCAGACCCCAGAAAAGGGTTTAGGGTTTAGGGTTTAGGGTGGTGCCACTGGGCTTCCAAGACACACTTCCAGCACGACAACATGTCTGAGCCAGATGCTTGCAACCCCGACTTGCCAGTTGCAAGAACAATCCCAAATCCTTTAACACCCTAAGCCCTACAGACCCCTTAGGGTTTAGGGTCTAGGGGTTAGGGTTTAGGGTTTAGGGCTACAGAGCTGGCGGTTGTCTCAGGGCACTGTCTGCTCCAAACAGAGCAGTTAAGAGCGTGGCACCTGGCTTCCAAGAGTCCATATATCTGTAAGAACACCTAGGTTGGCCCCTAAAGCCCTCTGAAAAATATTCCTGGATGGTCCTCTTATAAACCCAAATAAGGGAAAATATAAAATGTCCCAAGGGCCTACCTAGACACTGTATGTGTGTATGTACACTACTCCTCATAGAGCTGTGCAAATGATGGCGGCGAAAAGGAAAACAGCCTCAATGGGACGCTGGATCCCGAAATGTGACAGCACGACCTTTCTATCTAGGAGTTCGCATATGGATCATCTTCCGGCATCCCGGATGTACAAAGCAGCACAGATCCTAACCTTCAACCCTAAACACTAAACCCTAAACCCTAAACCCTAAACCCTAAACCCTAAACCCTAAACCCTAACCCTAAACCCTAAATCCTAATCCCTAAACCCCCAACCCCAAACCCCCTTTTGCTCTCAATATGCACACCGTCCGACTGACGGTGGCTAGGCATGACTCTGATGACATGTAAGATACATGGGCAGCTCTCTGAATTACGGTCCCTTTCTGGTTGCAACCTGAACGCAAGGGCGGTGTAGAGCTTCGTGGTATAGGGTGTAGGAACCCCCCCAAAAAGGGACCAACAATTTAGAACAACCCCCACACATGGGAGCACCTGCACCGTTCGGTGAGGTGCAAAGCAATGGCAGTCCGATATGTCGGACCGGTGAGTCGCAAGCGCTCCGGGCACAAGCTTCTGGCTTGGTGCCTGGTTTAGGGGTTTAGGGTTTAGGGTTTAGGGTTTGGGGTTTAGGGTTTAGGGTTTAGGGTTTCGGGCTTTGGGTCCCAAATAGCCCTCCCTAGACCGTACGACCGAGACAGGCACCGCACTCTGCTTGCGAGACTCCCTATGCTCAGGTTTGCTAGCAAACCTGACGGCATGCGCCTCAGCAGTTGGATCACATGTTGCAAGTTCTCAGTGATTTTCGTGGTCAGTCTACTGTGGTCTAGAGGTTAGGTTTGTTTCGATGAGGACCCTATTGCTCGAGACGTCGCCGCTCTCTCCTAGCTCTTCGTTTCTGTACCGATGCTGTGGCCATCTGCCAGGGCATCGCCATCACAGCACTGCTGCAGGAAACAAATTAAATTTTTACAGGAGCTGAGGAGATGGAGCGTCTTGGTATTCAGCAATTCCGCATCCCCCCAGCACAAGATCTCAGTGGTTTCGGGGTTAGGGGCTGATCTCTACTTGTTCCTTCTCTAAGTACGTCTCGAAGGTCTGCAACGACACGGGACCGCCAATTTTGATCTAAGCCCATTTGCGAAGGGCTCTTTGCGCGGCTGACCCGAAGCATGGGCCCATCACTGCCAGGCTGGCCCGTTTTTTATTCCCAGGGTTTGGGGCTTGGGTTTGTAATCATCTGAAACCCAATATGCGTATTTCCAAAAATAGGGGATACCCCATGATATACCCGACAATAGTAGAAAATGTTAAGACAGGAGACCCCCCCCCCCCCCCTGTGTTCGATAAACCCCCCGATACAGGACACACGTAAACCCCAAAAATCCCTAAGCCCTAAACCCTAAACCCTCAGCCCTCAGCCCTAAACCCTAACCCTCAGCCCTAAACCCTCAGCCCTAAACCCTAAACCCTCAACCCTAAACCCTAAACCCTAAACCCTAAGCCACCAAACCCAGGAGGCCGGCCCGGTCCCTTATGGCGACTTGCAAGTCAAGTTGAGGCCAGGCAAGCCCAGGGGTGCACAGAGTGCAGAGCAGATGGCCCCGAGGTACCTGATTTTTGCACCGCGATGTTTGCTACGCCGAAGATGTGCTTAAGGGGTTGCCCTAAACCCTAAACCCTAAACCCTAAACCCTAAACCCTAAACCCTAAACCCTAAACCCTAAACCCTAAACCCTAAACCCTAAACCCTAATTAAGCCCTAAAGCCTAAACCCTAAACCTTAAACCCTGAAATAGGTTCAGGGAGTGTTGGGATCTTGTCAAGCGACCATGGCTACTCGACCGCCTTCCTGACGCGAGACGAACTCTTGCAGTCACAGTGACCTGCTGCCTATGCTTACCAAAACTTCAGCTGGGGTTTAGGGTTTAGGGTTGGTGGGTTTAGGGTTTAGGGTTGAGGGTTGAGGGTTTGTGGTTTAGGGTATACCTGGAACTCCCCCCTTATACTAACAGTCCTTAGTGGGGAATATCCCCCCTTTTAGAACCCCTATGAAGAACTGCTAGTATAAGCGGGAACATCCCAAGATATATAGGGTTTAGGCCTCAAGTGTCCAAAATCCTAAAGCCTAAAGCCTAAACCCTAAACCCTAAACCCTAAGTAACCTAGGAATAAACAAGGTTCCCTATTTGATTTGAAGGAGATTACAAGGGAACCCCAACCTAAAAAAAACAATGGAACAAGGGCGCTCCGGGTCCGAAACTCTAAACCCTAAACCCTACACCCTAAACCCTAACAACTAACAACTAACAACCCTAAACCCTAAACCCTAAACCCTAAACCCTCAACCCTAACCCTAAACCCTAAACCCTAAACCCTAAACCCTAAACCCTAAACCCTAAACCCTAAACCCTAAACCCTAAACGGCCCAGGCACATCAATCGGCCTTTGGTGCGGGAGGATGCGCCGGTAAATGCTGCTGCGTTGCCTCGGGTTTTCGAGTCCAAGGGGTTTTGGGTTTCGGGGAACCCCGGGAAAAAAACTAAACCCTAAACCCTCAACCCTCAACGCTCAAACCCTAAACCCGAAACCGTAACCCTAAACCCGAGAATTACAGGATGCCTGCCTTTGCTTGGATGGATCCTATACCGCCAAGAATCTTTGGACGCCCAAGTCTTTGATTGGGAGCTTACCCTACTTGGAGGTTCATGATACTTATTAACCAACTATAACTGTACTTATAACCAACGTATAAGCCCCTGAAGTGTCCTAACATGGTTATAAGTACAGTTATAATTGGCTAATAAGTAACATGAACCTCCAACACTGTATGGAGGATTTCGTTGATATATGCCAAGCCTACAAAACGGGAACAAGGGTACAACCCTAAACCCTAAACCCCAAACCAAAACCCTAAACAGTAAACTCTAAGCCCAAAACCCTACCAAAAAAAGGGGCAATAGGGCATCTTGGTTGCAGGCGTCCGGATTGGAGTTGTGACGCCAGAGCTCGCAAAGCTGTGCGCTATTGAGCTCGGGGTTGTCAACGACCAATCTCACGAGACTCACTAATCCTTGGCGTGGACTACTTAGGGTTTAGGGTTTCGGGTTTAGGGTTTAGGGTTTAGGGTTAAGGGTTAAGGGCTAAGGGCTTAGGGGTTACGATTCGGAACCCATTGGGGTCCTTTCAGTAGGGACTAGACATTTATGGTGTGGGCTGGGCCACCCACGCAAACGACACCAAGCGTTTAGGGTTTAGGGTTTCGGGTTTAGGGTTTGGGGTTTAGGGTTTAGGGTTTAGGGTTGACAACCACTTAACCCCACAGTAAATCTGTTGAAGCCCGAAGGGATCCGGCTACGGGCATCTTGCTCCTTGCGACCCAGTCGCTTTCTTGCTTCCTCATTTGCTCAGGTTTAGGGTTTAGGGTTGAGGGTTGAGGGTTGAGGGTTGAGGGTTTAGGGTTTAGGGTTTAGGGTTAGGAAGGTTTCCAGGAGGGAAAGAGGCTAACCGTTGGACTCTTGCTGGATGTCTGTCGTACCCAGAGAGTGAAAGGTTGCTTACTCGGCACCTGAGCATCTGTGGATCAAAGGAGATGGTGATGGATGGACGGGGAGATGGCGAGGACCAAGACCTGGACCTGGACCAGAACGTGTTCGGATTCCTGGGCGGATTTTTAGGGTTTAGGGTTTAGGGTTTGGGGTTTAGGGTCCGTGGATGGCGGGGATGGGCCAACTTCAGGAGTAGCTCCGGCGGGCTGTGTGCCGAGCTAAAGCAGGCACCTTCTCAGATTCTCAGCAGGCGCATTCCCAGGCGCACCATCAATTCCTACAAGCCCTCAGCCTCCAAAACAGGTGAGAACCCCACCCTAAACCCTAAACCCTAAACCCTAAACCCCAAACCCTAAACCCTAAACCCTGAAGATCATCGTGCAAGGGACACGCAGCCCAGCGGAGAGTCGGGTTCGGTCGCCGCGACTTTCAGACGCTCCCACTGCTTCAGGAGCTCGGCACCCTCGAGATCCGGATGGAACAGGGCGGCATAGACCAAGGCCACAAACTGCCGATTCCTATTTAGGGTTTAGGGTTTAGGGTTTGGGTTTAGGGTTTAGGGTTTAGGGTTGAGGGTTGAGGGTTGAGGGTTCCCCTCTGACCAGAAGGTGCAAACTTGGCGGCACTCAGGAGGGTAGCTATAAATTAAACTTTTAGCTGCCTTACCCAGAGGGTCCATGTTGTCAATATTTGAGGACTCGGGGCCCGAGTACATACATAGACAATGTTCGCCCCGAGTCCTTAAATATTGAGGAATTGGTGTGTCTTGGGAATGTTAAGGACATGAAAGGTTGCGGAGGAAACCGAGTCTTGGTACCATAATTACCAGAATTTTGATAATCCAGGGCAACCCTGGATGGATCGGCTCGATCGGCTCGATAAGCGCCCCTGGCACAACTATGTATAAGTTTTAAAGGTTTAACGTGTCACCCATCAGTACAAGTACACCAGATGTTGAGCCGGAGCCCTCTATTAAAAGTTATAGTGTACGTGCATAGTACGTATATAGCCTATAGTATATATATACTACGTATACAGCGTAGTGTCCTAAATGTATCGGCTTGGGTTTCCAAGGGGCCAAAAGCCACTGGGGGAATGCCTTTCTGCTGCAGCCGTGCCAAACTTAAATCAGGGTAGGCATCATTCGATGCTGGAGGTTGGATTGCCGGTCCAGGCTCGTGGGGTTTCAGGCGCTTTGGGTCGGCGCCCCTGAAAAGTGTCTCCTCTGGCTTCGTGCCATCAGGATGCAAGGGGCCTGTAGTTAATGTGCTAAAGATAATTAATGTGCGAGATTGTTCTTCTGTCTATCTCTCATAGATTTACTTATTGATTTACAAATATACATATACTAGCTATTTACATCGTACAAGAACACATAAGTGGCAGCCTGCACGGGTAATCTGGCTGCCCTTTCCGGCATTCGTTTCTGCACATCCTGCATTTCCTTCCAGATTTTAGATCTCCAGGAGCAGACCAGATAGCCTAAGTGGCTGTAAAATTATGCATTCTTGAAATTGAGGGGCCTTTGATGCCTGCCCCTCTTCAGCAACCATGGCTGCACAGGTAGAAAGGCCCCGCACCAGACACCCGCGTTGGCACCTGCATAGAAAACTTGGCCAACAAGCCAGCCCCACCAAACTAACGCAAAGTAACGCAAAAGTAACGCCCAGAATCTCCTATGCACGGCACCGGGCCCCAAAGTCACGCAAAGTAACGCGAAAGTATCGCGAGATTTTCTCCTCATTTCTTTGGAAAACCGATATATTTTCCTTGAACGCGCCCTTGTTTTCTAGCTAAAACCCTGGTTTTCTCCCTAATAACCTGCATTTCCTCTGAAATCTCCCTGATTTTCTGTTAAACGCAATTGTTTCATTGGTTTCCGAGCCAAAACCTGCATGTCCTCCGCAGTTTCTTATTTGTTGAGTTCATTATCGCACCGAACCCTAGCATTTCCCTGCATTTTCGTACACATTCTAATTAATATTTTGCATCCTATGACATTATGGAGCATTTCCCTGTGTTTTGTAATACACAATAACAACTACAATAAGTTATAATCAATCATATTGCGTCTCTGAAAAACCTAAACATAGAATTGCCAGAGTATTTTCATGATTTTTCACCAAACCTTAGCACTTGCTCATAGCGCTAACACCCAGCATTATAGGCAGCCTTTATGCAACTAAGCCTGATCGTCGTTCATCTACACTGAGCGTTGCTAAACCGAAACCTCTGAGGCTGTAACCCCAAAATAACATAAAACTCCGTCGGATGCGATTTCACACAAACAACACTGCGATACGAAAATTAGCCACACGTACGCAGCACGAAAGTGCATTTGCAGCTGTGCTTGTGCAGCTTCCCATAGGAAGCCCATGGTTCACAATGCACAGGGTCCCTCGTGAATGATATTTGGAAACTCGCTTCAAAATTGAATACGGGGTTATAGCAGAACTCGAAGCTTTTGTAGCTTGCGTATACAATTGTGTTCATGTAGAGTAACAGCGGTTGTGTCGACGCGCAGAAAGATGATGTGCTTCCAACAAACGATAGTTTATATGAGTATGTGGCCAGCCCCTTGAACAGAATTGCCTGAGCACGGCATCAAGCATGTTATTCGGAATTCCTTCATTATCAAGGAATCGGCCGAGTACGCAAATACTGTGTACTTGGACCCTCTGGGTTAGAAAGAAACCCAATAAACCCAAAAAGGTAAGGATCTAAAGTTACAGCAAAGTACCACAAAGTATACTAGACCCGGGAGTAGCCTAGGAACAAAAAAGGGTACCCTTTTTGGTTTGAAGGGGATTATAAGGGAACCCCAACCCAAAAAAGAAAGGAAAAAAGGGCCTACTCCCGTCCTAGTATACTCCCCTTAGAACCATACTAAAAAAAGCATGTTTGATATCCTCTTGGGTTTTATATGAACAAAACTAAAAAAAGAATTCCCAAGGGGGAATAGAGATTCTGCTGCTGGATCTCCATCTTCTTCTCGATGCAGTTAAGGTTCAGCTGCCGCTGGCTCTTGATGTTCACCCGCTCTCCTTAAGGCATGTTTTTGGGGGTTGGAACCCAAAAAAGGGAAAAGGGTACCCCGCTCTCCTTAAGGGCACCCTTTTTTCGGCTGCTTGACGAGGGAACCTTGAACCAAAAAAAGGGAAAAGGGTACCACTGGGCTATCCCCAAAACCCTTAACCCTGAACCCTGAACCCTAGACCCTACACCCTAAACCCTAAACCCTAAACCCTAAACCCCTAAACCCCTAAGCCCCAAACCCTAAGGACGTGGCCAAGTCTCTCTTCCAGAGCTGCAGTAGTGAAAAGCCATTCACATCTGGGTGCTTCAGAGCCACGTGAACCAAAGAGACGACCCCTTGCTGATGGCACAAGCTAGGCCTCGGTAGGGTTTAGGGTTTAGGGTTTAGGGTTTAGGGTTTAGGGTTTAGGGTTTAGGGTTTAGGGTTTAGGGTTTAGGGTTTAGGGTTTAGGGTTTAGGGTTTAGGGTGTAGGGTGTAGGGTGTAGGGTTTAGGGTTTAGGGTTTAGGGGGGTTCTTATAGCATAATTACAAAGGGGCCCAAAGGGAATGCTATTAGTAGTTAGTCCGACACCTATACAGGCACTTTCTTGGGGGAGGTTGGCTGCTTTGCTCGGATGGCCCTTAAACCCCTCTGAACATTCCCGAAGATTGTCCTCATAAACCCAACAAGGGAAAATACAAAATGTCCCAAGGCCCTACCTAGTTTATAAGTTTAGGGTTTAGGCTTTACACTCCCCCAAACTTACATGGAAACTACGTGCATGATTTGGTGCAACTAACATAGAAACGGTTACCCGATTTCGACCCCTAATTTTCCCCAATAAAAGCGATGGCGAGGACCACTCCGGAAAATTGTATGTTAGTGTTTATGCTGGGGTTGATGGGGCATTTTCCTGGAATTTTAGCAGCAGGCTGATATGGTCAGGTATGCACATAACTTCCATGTTAGTGTTAGATATCTCCGAAAACAGGCATGAAAAGGCCTTGCACTCCTATTCCTGCAAGTTGCTTCGTTAGCAGTGTTCTGCTGTAAAACAGGACTTCTTCAGCATCTTCCAGGAATTGCTAGGTTAGCGGTGCTCGTCGCCCACGACCCCCTCCTACCACCGACCTTTCGGAACTACCCCCTCCACCCGTGACGGCAGCCTCCCCGTGCTCCTGGAACCTTTGCCTCCCCCTCCATAATAGGGTATTCGCCGGAATTGCTATGTTAGTGGTCCACTCGCTTGTTTTGTTGGGTTGTGGGTGTGTACTGCTGCGCGTGGTCTCTGTCTGTGAGAAGCTGTGCAAACTCGCCTGCTGCGCGCGGTCTTGTCTGTGAAAATTCTGCCATTTCGGCATAGTCCAGCAACTGCTAGGTTAGCAGCGCTTGTCTCCCACACCCCCATGGCCCATGACCATACCCTCCCGTACTCCTGGATCCCTCGCCTCTCCTCCGTGACTAACTGAAGTGGGCTTTGTAAGGTTATCTCCGGAATTGCTATGCTAGTGGTCCACTGGTCTGTTTTGTTGGGTTTGTGTGTGCTGCTGCGTGTCTCCTTCTGTAAGAGGATGTGCAAACTCGCAGCTGGGAGCCTCCTGATCCTGATCCCATTGCTACGTTAGCAAATTTTCTGAACGAAATATACCGGCCAGTTAATTTTATTCACTGGCGATCTTATTACTATTATTGGTTTTCTATTCAGGGGGCAATTTTAGAACATGTTTATCGGCCCCCTAACATAGCATCTCGCAGATTTGCCTCGACTATGCTGTTTTTTACTCTTTTGGGGCGCTACAACCACTAACATGGCAATTCCGAGTTTTGGGGTATTCTTCAGGTTTTCCTGACAAAAACCTCTCCAGGGTGGGGGCACGCTGCGAGTTGCCATCTACCAGACGGAAACCACTAACATGGCAATTCCGGCCGCGAGAAAAACTAACATACAAAGTGTCGTCGAAAAACACCTGCGGGGGTTTCTATGTTAGTTTGCAGGAGAGTAGATGGTTTTAGGGTTTAGGGTTTAGGGTTATAAAAAGAGTATAAAGGGCACCATGGGCAACCAAGAGGCTGAATGCCAAAACTTCGGAGTCCCCCTTCGACGTCACCCTGGTCACCCAGCTGCTGGAGGGATGCGGACGCGTTGCTGCCACGTCCGGCCCTCTTCTCCTGCTTAGTAGCCCTTTTAACCATCTTAACATAAAGGGCGCCCTGTTTGTGGGTTGGTTCCTTTAAAGAAGGGAACCCAGATCCCCGCAAAAAAAGGGGGAAAGGGGGTACCACCGGACAACCAAGCCTGCTTCAGCTCCGTCTCAAACTGGCACAGGATGTCGCGCCCCTCGAGTGGTGCACGATGCATGGCCACCCGAACCAGTGCGACAAACTGCTGATTCTGCATGGCGAGGATAGACTTGTTGGCCACAAGGTCTACATTCAAATCTCGCTGGCTTTTCACCTGGTTGCTTAAGCACATTTAGAGCCGCGGACCCCCGACATGGTGCCTACAGTCTGCAGCCTCGTAAACCTTAACCCCCCCCCCCCCCAAAGAAAAAAGAAAAAAAACAACTATAAACCCTAAACCCAAACCCCCCAAACTCCTCAATGCCGTAAACCCTGCACCCCTCCCCCCAAATAGAAAACAACAATAATAATAATAAGAATAATAATACAAAAAAACTATAAGCTTATAAGCCCGAGGCCCCAAGCCCAAATCTAAGCCCTCAGCCCTAAGCCCTAAGCCCTAAGCCCGAAGCCCTAAACCCTAAATCCTAAACCCCACCTTCGTCTGCTGCAGCTGCCACTGTCGAAGCAGCGAAGCCCCCGAAAGGTCAGGATGCTTTAAGGCCACGCTGATCCTGGGGTAGAGTTTGGGGGTTTAGGGTTTAGGGTTTAGGGTTTAGGGTTTAGGGTTTAGGGTTTAGGGTTAGGGTTTAGGGTTCATAGTGCATATAGAGGATAAGGATAAGACAAATGAAGAAAATGTGTTCAAACCTACCCCTGGATCAGGGACACCAGGGCATCACCGCGCTGCTGGCCTCCCTGGTAGGGGTTTAGGGTTTAGGGTTTAGGGTTTAGGGTTTAGGGTTTAGGGTTAGGGGTTTAGGGTTTGTGGGTTTTGGCCTTGGGGTTTGCGGTTTAGGGTTAGGGCTCGTACCAAGTCGAGGAACCCTAAACCCCAAACCCCAAACCCCAAACCCTAAACCCTAAACCCTAAACCCTAAACCCTAAACCCTAAACTTGCCGATGTTTGTAGAGGTGGACAACTCAAGGGCCCTGACGTAAGAGAGGGTAGTGGCGGGATTGGCGACCTGAAGAACGCCGGTCCTACTATTTTGTAGTAAGGTTTAGGGTAGGGTTTAGGGTTTAGGGTTTAGGGTTTAGGGTTTAGGGTTTAGGGTTTAGGGTTTAGGGTTTAGGGTTTAGGGTTTAGGGTTTAGGGTTTATAGGGTTTAGGCCTCCTTGAAGAGTTGCCGGCTGTCTTTCCCACTCAACTTGGACACGACAGGGGATGTATGGTCTGATTGCTCATCGCTGTCGAGGGAAGTCGATGCACATGTCGGCTCACCTAGGTAGCCCAGTGACCCTAAACCCTAAACCCTAAACCCTAAACCCTAAACCCTAAACCCTAAATTAAACCCTAACCCTAACCCTAAGGGTTTGGGGCATTTTGGGCCATGTTTAGAGCACAGGGCCATGCTGTACTCAGGGTTCGCCCCTGGTGAGGTTTCTCTAAGGGAACACCCCTTCCAAACAAAATGGGGTTTAGGGTTTGGGGGTTAGGGTTTAGGGTTTAGGGTTGAGGTTGAGAGTTGAAGGTTGAGGGTTTGGGGTTTAGGGTTTAGGGATACTGGGCGTCGTAGTCGCTGTGGCAGGACAAGTGGGAGGATTCCATGGTCTCACCGATGCCCTCACTGCTTTCGAGGCCTGTCTCCTTCCAGGGTGGTTTTTTTTGTTTGTATTTGTAGTTGCCCTAAACCCTAAACCCTAAAACCCTAAAACCCTAAAACCCTAAAACCCTAAACCCTAAACCCTAAAACCCTGAAGCCCTAAAACCCTAAACCCCCAAACCCTAAGTGAGGGCATCAGTGCTTTCAGGGTTTATGGTCCTCCTTGCCACGGTGATGGCCGAGAAGTTCTTCACCAAGCAACTCACTTGACACTGGCCTCGCCGGGTGTGCCTGGGCATATGCATGGGTTTCCCTACTACCCCTCTCAAAACTACCCCCCCTCCCTGAGTTCCCCCCTAAAAAGCGTTAATTAGGCTTAATTATCCTATTGATTATGAGAGGAACCTACGCGGGGGGGGGGGGGTGGGGTGGGGGTTGTGTAGAAGGGGGTAGTAGGGGAACCCATGACATATTAGTTAGCCTTTGGGATTTCAAAGGGCCGTGTAACACCCAGAATGGGAAAGGTTTAGGGTTTAGGGTTTAGGGTTTATGGTTCAGGGTTTAGGGTTTAGGGTTTAGGGTTTAGAGCTTAGGGTTTAGGGTTTAGAGCTTAGGGTTTAGGGGTTGTTGCGTACTCAGCACCCAAGATGCTGTGTAGGGCACTGAGGTTTGGCTCACCTTTGTCTCCAGCGAGGACAAGTTGGTGTGCAGTTGTCCGATATCTGTCTTCATCTGGTGAAGAGTCTCCTTGGTAGCCCAGTAGCCATCTTATGAATAAGGGCACCCAAAAAGGGTTGGCTGATTTATAAAGAACCTTGAACCCAAAAAAGGGGAAAAAGGGTGCACCACTGGGCTACCAAGTCTCATTTAAGGTGCCAAACTTGTCCACGGTGACCTCCAGCAATGTGGAGATCTGCTCCAAAGCTTCGTTGGAACAAGCCTGTCTTGACTCCATGTGCTGAAACCGCGTCAGGAACTCTTGCAGCCTCTCCTCACCTGGCTTGCCCCCAGCCGTCGGACTCCGCCCCTCCGCCTGGGCGGTGTGGGACCCGGAAGAAGGTATTACTGGCTGCGCGTTGCAGAACCCAGACCCCGGCGGCGACTGCCTGGAAGGAAGAGTGGCCCTGGCGCACACATTTGCAAAGTTCGACGGTGGTAGCTCATTGTAGTCAGTGGAGAACCTTTCAGAAACCATTTCTTTGTCGTCGCACTGGGTGACACTGGCATTGCAAATGGTCGCCATGACGCCTTCCCATTGCTGGCACCGTGAGCTCATCTTGCCTCAATGGCCTGAAAAAAAAACACGATCGACTCATCTCGGATCAGTGGACATCCGAGAGGAATTTCGAGCCACAGGTGCAGGGTGTTGGCGAAGCTTTGTTAAAGGTTCGGGGTCTAGACCCTCAACCCTAACGGCCCGAAACCCTAGGAGCCGACAGCATAAAATCAACTCCCCCCCCCCCCCCCCCCCCCCAAAAAAAAGTCAAGCCCGAAGCCCTCAAGGGTTTAGGGCTTAGGGTTTAGGGCTTAGGGCTCAGGTTGGACCCCACCAAGAAAGAACTCCCCCCCCCCCCGCCCCTCCCCAAAAAAACCTCAAAAAACACAGGACCATCAAGGCTTGATATGGTCTGAAGGTAGTTCCAAGGGCTCTTCGTATGGGCTGTCAACTATGGAAACCCTCTCAAGTGCGCCTTATCTATCCTGAAATGCCTACATGGGTGGTTGTCAAAATTAGAGTCCCTTGTTGGATCCCTATTAGAATACGGCACCTAGTATTTAGGGCACCCCGAATACCGAAAGGGATCATAATTTTGACAGCCACCCACATATGGTCTTGTTTGGCACTTTCCGTCCAGCGGGTGAGTCTCGGGGGCCGCGACATGATATGACCCGGCTTATGATATGACTCCATGAGTTTAGACTTATATTAGTAATCCGAAGCTAGGAGCCCAGATGATTGTCAATGTCATCCGCTCAGAGTCCCTCCGTGTGAAAAATATGGGTTTAGACTATAGAGTTTCGCGCTATCCTGAGAAGTACTCAGCACACACGCACACACACACACACACAGAGACACAGAGACAGAGACAGAGAGAGCTACGCACGCAAGCACGCACGCGTGCGCGCGCGCACTCTCTGAACCCCGAACCCTGATTAACGACATTACTACAAGATGTGGCTCCAGGCTTCTGGGGTGTAGGGTTTCTGGATTGTTCTAAAACCTCGGAACTCGTGGCGCTTTTGGGTAGGGTTGAGTTGAGGATGAAGGGTTCATGGGCTGAGCATGTGGACAGCATGACCGATACTCCCTGATCAGGGGGGTAGGGGGGCCTCCCTTAGGCACAGAGTATTGTATTGTTGTCGGTCGACTGTAGACAACATTGCAGGTTGTAAACTCAAAGGGGGCTACTGACTTACCTCATAGCCCCCCACACACACACTCTCTCTCTCTCACGTGTTGTACAACCGCCTCCGACATCTGGCCTTATCCAGAGCTCTTGGTCTTAAAGCCTTTTAAGGCTTCAAGTTAACCCTACCTTGGAAGCCCAATTGACGTGGCAAGTAGGGTTTCTCAAGGTGGGTCATGGAGATTAGAACAGGGTTTCTCGGAGATACTCAGTAGACTTACTAATTAGTCAAAAGAGCTTCCAAATACCTGCCGCTGAGGACTTCGCGATGGCTCCGTGCAAGCCTGTTGATCCCACCTGCGTCCGGGGAATGCCGCAGCTTGGGGGCGAAGTCGCGGAACTCAAAGCCTAGCTGTAAACCCTGAACCCTGAACCCTGAACCCTGAACCCTGAACCCTGAACCCTGAACCCTGAACCCTGAACCCTGAACCCTGAACCCTAAACCCTAAACCCTAAACCCTAAACCCTAAACCCTAAACCCTAAACCCTAAACCCTAAACCCTAAACCCTAAACCCTAACCCTAAACCCTTATGAAGGGGACCTGCCCTTCTCCCCATGCCCTCAAACAGAAGCCATGTGAAAATCCTTCAGCAGTTCTGACAGTCTACGCCCCAACACCGTATTTGCAGTTTGCTTCAGAGGGAAGTAGAAGAACGAAGACGGACCCTCCTGTAGTTTTATAGCACTCATAAAGCGGCCTCACCCCCACCAAACCCTAAACCCTAACCCCTAACCCTAAACCAAAAAACAAAGTGGGACAGACTGCGCTTTGGGAACCCGTGACGCGGACTTCTCAGCAGTAGCTGTGGCTTCTGGGGCTTGCATAGAGGTTCACAGGGTACTTATAACCCCAATTGTAACGTAACTATGCGTTTAAAGCCCCCTACTTGGAGGTTCAGAGTACTTACTAATTAACTTATTTATGAGTGTAGTTTTAACCCACTTATAAGCCCCTCAAGTACCCTAGCAGGGATATAATTGGGTTATACGTGCAGATATGATTGGGTTACTAGGTACCATGAACCTCCAACTAAGTCCTTAAAGTAGGTTCTGAGTAGACCTATAGTTATGGAAATCAGTACCCATGAACCTCCAAGTGAGAAATTGCATGTAGGGTTTTGGGCTTCAGGGTTATCCCTAAACCCTTAAACCCTTAAACCCTTACACCCTTAAACCCTGAAACCCTTACACCCTTCAACCCTTAACCCCTTAAACCCCTAAACCCTTAAACCCTTGAACCCTTCTTAAACCCTGAACCCCAACCCCCATATACCCCTATGCCAGGTTGGGCCTGCACGGCCAGTCCCAGGGCTCTTAGGCTATCCGCCTGCCAAAAGCCCGAAAGGTCTGGGGTTTGGGGTTTAGGGTTTAGGGGGGGGGGGGGGGGGTCAGGGTTTCATGGGTTCAGGGTTTAGAATGCTAGAAAAACTTTTTTGGAGAAGTGTTTTGCCTTTGTTTGTGGTTCGGGCTAGGAATTTGGGGCGCTTTGTGCTGCTTCGGGTTTCTCAAGTCTGTGGGGTTAAGGTTAGGGTTAAAAACCTGTGAGGGAGGTCTTTTGAGCACCTTTTGGGCGCCTCTCGGTGTCCTTTTGGGGACCTCTTCGGTTAGGGATTGGGGCTTCGGGATGTTTACGCTGGTTGAGCGTGGGCCAGGGGCTGGGACATGGGGGCAACTTCGCATCGCTTTTTTTGTTTTGCAGTTCGATCCCGAGCCCTTCCTGTTCCTAAACCCGAAACCCGAAACCCGAACCCTAAAACCTAAACCCTAAACCCTAATTAAACCCGAGCCCTTCCTGTTACTTCGTGGGGGATTGGGAATGGCAATGCTCCTGACCCTGAAACCCGTGTTTTGCCGCGTGCCATGTCCCAAGCGGGGCTCCTTTTACCCTAAACCCTAAACCCTAAACTCTGCTCCTTTTCTATCCTTGCTTTCCGGGGGGGGGGGGGGGGGGGGGGAGTCTCCTGAACCTTGAAGATGCTAGAGGCGGTCTAGGGTCTACCTTAAGAACCCCAAGCCCCTTACTTACTGGCAGGCTACGAGTCCACCAAGTCCTTGTAGACTCTCAAGTAACCTACAAGAACAGTACGTTATGGGTTCTTAAGCTGCGGCCTTTGGGATGTGGAGCCTCTTCTCCGATGATTCTAGACTTTCATTTCTGTTTCTTTATACTTATTTAGGAGTATTTGTTGTGTATTTGTGTTATCTTTTTTTTGCTGATTTTTTTGGGGGATGTCTTCCTGAACTGGCTCGTTCCACCTCAGGTGGGTCTGCATGTAAGCATACTAAAGTCTTCCTTAACTTGAGAATCCAAACCTACTTCCTTTGTAGGTTACCTAGTTAAGCATGGGGGCTGCTGGCCAGACGGGAAGAGAAACAAAAAACAGTAAAGGGTCCCTCTGGGCTACCAAGGTAAGAAGGGCCCAGTTGTGGGTCCTAGAAGTTTTCACACCCTTCGAAACTTGAAACCCAAAAAAAGACTGGTGGTCACTCCCAAACTACCTGGACCTTAACTGTCTTTCAGGCGAAGAACATGGAAACAACTGCCCGGAGTTGCCAAGGGCTCTTTGCAGGCTTTTGCACCCTCCGCTTCCTAAGATCAAGCCCTAAACCCTGAACCCCAAACCCTAAACCCTAAACCCTAAACCCTAAACCTAAACCCTAAACCCTGAACCCGAAACCCTACACCCTGGGCACTCAAGCCTTCTCCGTCACCTCGCTCCAGGCCGCGAAGGTGGCGAGGTGCACTGTCGGGCGCGACATCGCGGCCTCCAATGTGTAGGTAAGCGACAGCTTACTTCTGCAAAAGCCAGGGAACTACTATTTGTTTGAGAAAACCCAAATACATGAAAAACAAAAAGTCAAAAATGAAAAATAGTAGAAATAAAAACAATCCTCCTTATAAGGGCAATGCAGGGATGTGTATATTTCATTGTTCGTAAGCAAGTAATTAGTAGGGAATCAACAGGTTAAACCTCATCAGTCCAGTGACATAAGCTCAAAGAAATTAAAGTTCAACCAGTAGAGTCAGGCTAGGTAAGTGCCAGTGCCAGTAAGACTCCGAACGAGGACCCGCTCGGGCTCCCGCGCAGATACATACTTTGCAAGAACACAGAGCCGCTCTGATAAGGCCACTGGCAGCCGAGAACTGAGCCGTTGCAGCTGTGCCTGCTTCATTAGGGTTTAGGGTTTAGGGTTTCATACTGTGCCTGCTTAAGATCAAGAAGTTGTTGCGGGTCTCCATTCAAACCGGCGGATGAGAAAGCCACTGCAAGACAGCACAAACCCTAAACCCTAAACCCTAAACCCTTAACCGTAAAACCTACTCACCTGGAGACTTCCCAAAGTAGGGGTACCCATTCTCTACCCCCACATATCATAGAATCCCCTGAAAAGGGACACCCAAAAAGAGTACCCTTCTGTTCGGAAACCTAAGCCCTAAACCCTAAACCCTAAACCCTAAACTTTCCAATCCGAAAGCGAGTTTACCCGCCTCTGCGCACTCCGCAGCTTCCTCCCTCGACAAATCCAAAACCTGCCCGGGACACTGCCCAAGTGGTATAGGGTCTTAGGGTTTAGGGTTTAGGGTCCAAAGGCTTTGGGTTTAAGGGTCAAGGGTTAAGGGTTAAGGGTTTAGGCTTTAGGGTCCTATCACCCTATAACCAAATAAACCCCACAAGCCCACAAAACCAGGGTACCTTTGTTAGGGTTGGTTACTTTACGAGAACAAAGGGTAAGGTACCACTGGGCTACCAACCAAGCCCCTAAACCCTAAACCCTAAACCCTAAACCGGCTATCATGTTGAGGTGACAGCACTGGGTGAAGGAAGCGTGGGGCCTCGAAGCTCAGAACAGCTAGCTGCGAAGGAT